GTCTTTTTACGTCTTTTTCTGATTTTTTCTCGATTTTTCCTGATTTTTTGGAGGGTGTACTATATATATATTTAAAGTGAACTTACCCTAGGTGCCATGTCTGTATGTTGCAGTGCTGACCCTGGCCGGCGCACTGGCCATGCCGCTGGACTCCCCGGAGGAAGACCAGCCCGACATCGTGGTCGTGATGCCGACGTCGCGGACGGACGCGGCGGCCGAGGCCGCGGGAGCCGTGGGGACGGAGCCACCGCTCGCCGTCCTCGGGGCGTCCGCGGCACCGCAGGCCGTCACCCTCTCCGGCGCGGCGAACCCTGCGGACGACAAGGCCGCCCGGGAGGAGGACATCAAGGACCCGGAAGCGGCTCGTCAGTCCACGTCAGGCGCTCCACGGACCGACGAAGCTGTGACAACATCCTCAAGACAGCCGGAGGACGCCGACGTCGCCGAGACGCACGTCGGCATGACAGTAGCTGTACCAGACGGACCGAGCGCCATCGCAGAAGTGGGTGTCACTGAAAGTCAACAGGTCGGCGAAGTGGCGGTGGTGACTGCAGCCCCGCCGCAGGTCGTCGAACAAGAGGCCACCGTCGCAATCGTCCCCCAGTTTGCCGAAGAAGTGGCTGTAAGTGCAGGCTCACTGGTCAGCGAAAATGTCTCAGTCAGTGCACCCCCGCTAGCTGAAGAAGCCGTTGTCGTCACTACGACTCCGCAGGTCGGCGAAGAAGTGGTTGTCACTACCATCTCGCCAGCAGAAGACATTGGGGTCACTGCCGAGCCGCAGGTCGGCGAGGAAAGTGCACTTACAACAATGTCGCAGACTAGTGAAGACGTTGTCGTCACTAGCATCCCGGATGCCGTCAAAGAAGTAGGCGTCACTACCATCACGCAGGCTAGCGAAGATATACCATCCGCCACTGGCGTTGCCAGTGGAGAGGCAAGCCCCGCTACCAACACCCCCCAGCAGACCAGCGAGGACTTGTCCACCAATATTATCTTACATGCCGGTGAGGACGCGTCGGTCACTTCCGATCAGAAGTCAGATGACTCTTCAGACGTCGTCACTGCACTTCCTGGGGATCGTGTGCAAGTCACTGTCGCCCCTCTGGTCCAAGAATCGACCGCCACAGCCGCAACGCAACCCGGCGAAGAAATGGCCGCGGCCACGACCATTCGGTCCGGCCTGGAACTTACTGCAAACACCGTCCCGAATTCTGTGGCCGAGGACAACGTGACACTCCGACTCGGGGAAGCGAGTTCTGCGTCGCCAATCGTCGCGGAGGCCGCCGCCGTGACTACCGCGATGCCCGACATGGAGGAGACCGCGTTCACCACCACATACGGCGAAGTGACTCAGGCAGAGGTGACCGGCGTGGACGCCGCCGACAAGGCAGTCCCCGAGGTGGCCGTCGTGCCCGGGACGGAGCCCCCCCAGGTCGAAATGAGTGGGGCCGCACTCGACGCCGTGACCGGCATGGTCGTGGAGTCCGTTACGAGTACCCTGCCGGCGGTCGTCACTGCTCTACCCGAGACCGTGATCGTCACGGAGGTCGTGGAGGGTATCGACGAAGTTCCCGTCACAAACGCAGTACCGGCGGCCACCGACGTTATCAACGTGTCGACCGAGGCGTCAGTGACACAAGAAGTCCCAGTCGTCAGCGAGTTCTCCGCCCAATCCACCAATCAGTCATTCAAGACGCCCGACGATGTTCAGACCACTGACGTGCCCCAGGAGGCGACGACCGAGATCCCAGAAGCTTTGACGACAACGGAAGCGATCATCGAGGTGGCCGTCGACAAGGTGGCGGGTCAGCACGTCGCTGACCTGGTAAGCACCGCCGGAGCACCGGAGGTTCTTGTCACGTCCAGCGTGGCCCCGATGATTGAGAAGCAGGACAGCGCCGTGGACGAGGCAGTGGTCCCCGAGACCAAGCCCCAGCCCGTCGAGGTCGAAAACAAAGTCGTTCCCGTCGACGTGACAACCCCTAGTCCGAGCGGGTTGATCAGCAGTGAGTCGTCGACAGCATCGTCCACCTCTGTGACGGAGACGACAAGCGGGGTGACGCGCGGCGGGGTGGCCAAGCCCATCAACGAGGCCGCGGGCCAGCCAGAGGCGCACGTCAGCGAGGACGTTGAGGCCAGGCCCGTGGTCGCCAAGGCCGGCTCCAAGGTCCCCGAGGCCGAGCCGAGCCCGCCGTCCGAGGGACGCAGCCTTACCAGTGGCGATGGCGTCGTCAGCAACCCCGACTGTCCCAAGGACGTGATGGAGGCCGACGCCCGCTTCTTCGTCATCGTGGTGCTGCTGGCCGCGCTCAGCATCCTGGGTGTGTCGGTGGTCATCCTGGTCATGAAGTTTCGCGTCAAGCCAGCCGCCAGGAGGTCCATCACCATGTCGGTAAGTGGCCCCCAACCTGTGTGGTTCATTATCTTCAAAACATGTGTTAGAAATTTTGTAAGGAATATGTAGTCTTCTTCGTAGACTAACGAGCTCACCGGTCCGCCCCGAGCCTCCGCTAATTAGAAACGTTTGTGCTCGCAGATGTGCTGGTGCCTGAGGCGGGCGCGCCGCGCCACCATCACCCCTCCGTTCGCCCACCACCACCAGCACGCCAGTGAGGTAGGTGTGCGCGGCAGTGGCGCCGGCAGGGACCCGCAGCCGCCCTTGTCGCTGTGCCAGTACTCGTCCCTCGTCAACCTGGAAGCGCCCCCGACCGCCTGACATTCCCCCCGCCGTCACCCCCGGGCCGCCCTGCCCCCGGCCGCGCCCCCGGCCTCGTCCCCGCCCCAAACAAGGCCATAAGCCTCTCCTTCCTCCTGCGGTGTGCGGTCTACAGCCGCACGCTGCCGCCCCGGGCCCCGGGCGCCCCCGCCGGCCACCAACCTCCATCCGTCCCGCCCGGGCCATCGTTGTGCCCTGCGCGTCCACGACACGCCCAAATGAAATTTTGAGGTCTACGCCGAAGTGATCTGTACTTAATATTGATAAACACCTTTTCACCGTGTACTTAATGTTAGTTATAGAGACTCATTTTTCGCCAGCCCCCTTGTTCCCGAGTCTCTGCGCACCCTGCACTTGCTGGCGGAGTCCGTCGCGTCAGCCGCGGCGCGGCGTGGCCTCGCGTCGTTTGGACGTTATTAAGATTGGGATCGCATCGCCGTCGCAACGGACTCAAAGATTGGGTCCGAGCAAAGAGGGCCATTTACTCTCGCCTCACGAGCACACGGGGGGAAATCCGAGATGAGCCCCGGGTGGCGCGGTGAGAGAGGGACCTGCTCGCATGGCACCGCGTAGCACAGCGCGCCTCGGGCCTCGGGGCGGCGGGAGACAGGCGCCAGGAGAGCGCCAGGCGCCCCCGGGGCAGCCTTGCCTCGCGCGTAGTGTGCCCCACCCACCCCCATCCCCCTAAAAAAAAAAAAAGAAAACCTTGGGGAGAAAGAAGACGAGACCTTTCCCTTTCACACCTCTTCTCCTTTCGGAAGCCATCGTGGGTGCCCGGCAACGCTCTAGGAAATAATAGCGAGAGGCTCACCTGGGACTGGGAGGGTCGTGGTCCAGCTCACAGCACACCCTCTGCTTGTCCCTCACCCCCGCCCCACCCCCACGACCCTTACCGGTCCCCGCGCCGGTCCCCTCTGGCTCCCTCAGTGACAGGCGGTTTGCGGTGTGTGGTTCGCAGGTTGAGCGGGGGAAGGGGAAGCAGGAGGACTACAACCTCGCCTCCGACGAGGACTGCCGCGCCGACGAGGAGGTCACGGCCAGGGCGGCCCAGCAGGCCCGGGAGACGTCCAGGGACATGCCGACGTGGACCTTCTGCGAGAAGAGCGCCGCAGCCGCCGGTCCGCAGAGCCCGGCCAAGGAGGACGAGGTGGTCAGCTCAAAAATGTAGAGAGAAATAGAACTTTATTAATTTTCTTAAGTTTTTTTTTTTCGGCGGTGAAAGCTGCTGCACAAGAAAATTGAAACACGATACGCTTTTTATTTTCCCTTTTATTACTTCTTTTGAAATTATCGTTGTGCCATGACGTGCGAATAACTTATGATGGATTGTAGCTTTAGGACCTATAATTACTGGCATCTTGCATGGTGCAATTACGTGTGGACTTAGTCTGCACAGCAATTACCAAATGCTAAGCCTAGTGGCATGCGGACCACAGTAAGGATTTCAAAGCCTTCAAATCCATTGTGATCAATTTGAGCTGTGAAAATTTTGAGACATCACTTACCCTTGTAGTACTCCAGTATTTTGTCATGTATAGATAAATATGTGTGTAATTTATATTTTGCAGTGATGTACATATATGTATGAGAGATGTAAATAGGTACTTAAGTTGCAAGTAAGTTAGATTATTTCTGATGCTAGTTCCTCTTTTTACACTCTCAGCAAACTGTTGGCGGTATGCTGTGCATTATAAAGAATACTTTACTTATAAACGTCTAAGAAGTTTAAGATTTTGTTGTTTTTATTTGCTTTATACTTTTGTAAACGAAACTTGTCTTATATTAAGGCAAGAATTACTGAAATAACAATTAACGTCATTGCATCCTCCTCTGTTATTTTTAGAACAAAAGGACCTACGTCTTCACAATACTTATTTTATTATCATGATTGTATCGGTAGCAGTTACCCTTAGTCTCAGCTAGGGACGAATACAGATTTATTTTGTTGTTTTATTTTTGTTTGTAATTTTTTTCAAAATAAAATTAATTTTAAACTGAAGTTTTACATGGTGCTTCCTTGTCATTTGCTACAACATACCACCAAGATCTGCAGCATGTCGGCGGCTCGCAGCAGGCCCACGCCCAGACTCACTTCTGAGACAGACAAAGCCAGGGAATTTGTGATGTATTCTGACCAGCAGCTAGCGTTCACCGCACGGTGGATGCCATGGTGGTCGCCTATGCCGGTGACTATGACTGTGCCTTTGCAGGGTAAATCGACTGTATTTGCGGGGAGGCGTGAAAGGGAGAGGGAGGGAGACAATGAAGTACAGCAATCAACTAATGTGAGCGTAAATGCGATGAGGGGTTGTAAATCACTGTACATCAGGGTGGAAATCCACCCCCGTTTCTTGTCGTAAGACACACGATCCACTGGTGGAGGGGGGGGGGGGCGTGCACAAAAGGTCGCGGTGTGTTATTTCAGCGCCCACTACTGTCTAATAAGAGAAGCAGAAAGATAACATTTGCGCCTGGCCAAGAGAAGAACAAACGCTTAGCAGACGAGCGCGTCGGACGTGATCCCTTGCTCGTCTCTCCTCTCTCTCTTTTCCACACACACTCACTCACACACACACACACACACACACACACACACACTAATGACAGCAATCGATTGGACCAGAACTGACCGGGCCAAGGGATGGTTTACACGGCTGTTCCGACCCCTTTTGCCCTCGTTGGGGGTTGCGGGGCGGTAGGGGGGAGGGGGTCGGAAAAAATACTAGTCGGCGCCAAGATTGATCACTTTGGCCACGGCTCCGGTCGGGGCCGATGGTCCGTGTGTTGTGCTCGGCCTGTTAGCCGACATGGCCTCGAGCAGCAGGCAGCAGCGGCAGCAGCAGGGGCGGCAGCGCGCCGCGGAGGGGCGCGGCGGAGGGCTGACCAGCGCGCTCGGGCCCGGTGCGGACGCCCTGTTCCACCTGTCGAGGTGAGAGAGCGAGACACATCCAAACACTGAGTTCTTGGACCAAGTACACTGCAGTTACCCATAAGTTACCCGAGGACTAATTTTTCTTGGTGTAAACGGAGCACGCACTGAGAAAAATTCTTATTTCTGGCCACTGGACTTTGAGTCCCCAGACCGAAAGTTTTTGACACACCGAACAATTTGCTCTAAGGACAAGAGTTTTGTTGCTTGGCCTTACATGTTCATTGCGCCTCACAAAAGTTTCTGATCGCGGGAACTAAATGTTTAGTGTTGGGATCAAAATACGACGCAATATACAACTGTCTTGTCTTTGGGGAGAACATTTTTTCTCAGCACAACAGAGTGTGCCGACTCACGCTTTAAAAGGCGGCGAGCCTCGTACCTTTCCCTTATCCTTTTGAAATATTCGTCCGCCAGGGTGCTGGGCATGGCCCCGTACAGGCAGACGAGCTCCGCCCTGGCCCGCTCCCGCGGCTGGGAGGTGTACTCGCTGCTGCTGAGCCTCGCCTCGGGCGCCATGATCGCCCACCTGTCGTACGCCATCTGGGGGTCGCTCGTCGGCAGCTTCTACAAGGACCTCATCGGCATGTCGTTCATATCCAAGGTGTGTGGTATGAGCAGTTGGAAAACAATGTTTAACCTATGATGCAATGTCATTTTGAAATTGTAAGTGTGAGAGCCAGTCTGCTGTGAATCAAGACGCGCAAGCACAGAAACGGGTGCTGAGTGATTGTGGACGTGTCTTTTTTTTCCGGAGGGTACGTGTGGCTGGGTCCTGCACGCGCTGGGGCTGGCGAGCCGGCGCGCCGTGCTGCGCGCGCTCAACGCGCTCCTGGAGTCGGAAGCCCTGGCCGGCGACCGGTCCGGGAGGTGCGGCGGCCGCGGCGGCGTGGCCGTCGTGGTCACGGCCGAGCTGTGCGCCCTCACCACGGTGTGCATCTGGACCTTCGTGCTGAGCTGGCCCATGAGCAGCCAGTACTCTCCCTTAGAACAGGTAGGTACGTAGATCAAGACCAGCAGGGAAAGCTGCTTCCGCGCGCATCCAAGTTTGCGAGTTTTGGCAAGTGCAGTATTTCAGCGAGCGGATGAAGAAGACATCCGAGTACATTAATAGGGGAGGATCTGGTTTGTCAGGAAACTCTGGCATCTAGGTTGTGCCAGT